AAAGCCGAAGAAGTGAAATCTCGGTCTCGTCGTCAACTCAACAATCCCAATTTGAGCTTGGACACACCTAACCCTGACGGCAGTCGCAGGAAACTCTATGTGGTTTGTACTAGCCTGAATATCTTTAGTTTCTTTCATTTTACAACACTCTCTTACCATTGTGTATTTCTGAAATCGTTATTAATTTCACAACACTTTTGATTCCTCTTCGTTTCTAAAATTATTATTGATATTGCAGCATTCTTTTCCCTGAGCTTTTTCGAAATCATTAAACTATTTGAGTCTATTTCTAAATAGAATGTAATTCCCTGATACCTCAAATGTGCATAAGATACCTTGATCACTATTTTGCCTTTTGTTGATCTAGTGTTATTTTAAATTATAAATTTTACTCTAATTCTAGTTGATTTCACAGGCATTGACTTCCTATCTCACTTATTATTGAAGTATTTCCGAATCTAATTATTAGTAAACCGCCCTATTTTATTCTCTTACGGTCAAAGTCAAAGTATTATTACCTCATAATATTTTTAGTCATAGTATTATTACGGTCGTTTTTATCTTGCTTATTGCCTATTATAGGCCTTTTTCAGGCTCGTATCAGACCCAAAACATCTTGAATTCTCATAGTTATTTCATTGAACAATAAACGTGTGTTTGCGTAGTTTCAGTGGCAATAATTACAAATCGAGCATTGCGTTGCATTCCTCAGATGACCTGCGCGGAGGCGGTCATCAACAACAATAGGGATTTTCAAACATGTTGATGGCTTCTGTGATTAAATTGCAATATAAATACTATCGTGCAATCATTTAATATATCCAACATCATTTACCTTTAGTTCAAACGTTTGAAATTTATATCTTTATCAATGAATCTCATATCTAACATGCAGCCTCGCTTTGACCTGAGCTGTGGCGTTCACTTCAATAGCACCAGGGACTAAACCAGTGGTTCCCAAACTTTTTCAGGCTGGCGCCCCCTTTGGCTCCCTAGTGCATTTCTAGCGCCCCTCACAGACACAAATAAAATCATGCGCCTTTTTCTATAAAATTTAGCACGCTGCAATTTTAAAAGATAAAGGTTAAATACGAATGTGTATTTCACAAATAGAACCCCTTTTAGTGAACCAATATGTTTTTCAGCTGTTTTAACTGTTTCAGCACTAGAAACCTAGGGCGTCTCGGGCAAATTTACGTCCGGACTCGTGGCCGGTCTCAGGACCAATCTCCAAATACATATATCAAGTATAATATCTCCCAAACTAATGAACGCAGCTCGATGAAACTTGTAACATGTATTCATCAGAACTTAACGGTGATGTTTAGCATGCGAAAATTTTTTAAATATCACCTTCATTCGTGAGTTATATTGCGATCCAGGCCGAAATCGCAATGATCAAAGAATTTCTTCCAAACTACCGAACAGATTTGAACGAAATTTTTAATGTACATTCTTAACTACTAAATGGAATTTTTTAAATTAAAAAAAAATTTTATTCAACCTTCTTTCGCGAGATATTTTTTTGTCATTTCACCGTCATTCTTGATTTCACACTTCCTTATTCGCTTTCGTTCGCAAGTTATACAGATATAGGAGGAACGACCGGCTTTTCTACCGGCCGGTTAAAAAAAAAACCGTTTACGTATAGCCGTATACGTAAAGCCGTATACACATAGCCGTATAACTCGCAAACGAAGGCAAAACGAAAAAATTGTAACCAGAATATCCCAGTGCCCCCTACATTTTAATATCAATATCAATAAACAAGTAGGCCTAGCTCCGTCAGACTGGCAGTTTGCACAACCTTCTGTTCTGGCTTCTGCAGTAATCGTCATTAAAGATGATATATCATATGATTCATATTTGAATATGTTTATAACTTGTTATCGTTGTTAATTTATTTATTATATATAGGTTTACTTCTAGTTCAATTTTTCTTAATCCTACAGATGTACCTACTATGTTCATTGTAATTGTATGATAAGCCTTTCAGGTTTCAGCTGTGCCTGAGGGTCAAAATTGATCAAGTTTCTCGACTTCATTAACAGAAAAGAAATTGAGACTTGAGAGAAACAACCAATTTAATAATGGACAATATAAAAGAAATGGTGGTTGAACCTCTTACACAAGCAAAGTTTGTGAAACCATTTCTCCTGCGGTACAAACAGGTAGTAATGCATTTGTACAGTTTCATATTTATACCATCCAAACCCATTTTTGATGTAGCTAACCCACTACTGGCACTACCCACTACCCAGTGATATTTATTTTTTACTCTCCTATCAATGTTGCTCTCAATTTCATTCACAAATTCACAATGGATACTACCTAGCACTGTGGCACATCACTTGACAATATATATAATTTGGTTTTGGTTAATATATTATATGATCAAATGAAGGGAAAAACAAAGAAATTATGCTTATTATAGTTAGTATTTGTTTTGCATTGAAAGATGTTTTATATCCATAAAAATTAAAAGTGCATTGCTCTTCAGAGTAGAGGCTCAATTTAGCCTAGGTACTAGGTGTTTTAGAATTTATGATAATTTTTTTCGCAATGATTACCTACCTACCTATTCAAGAATCAAGTTCATAGTAGAAGAAATTTTGCTGTGAATGACAATCTAGCAGTTGATGATAATGTAACTTTGCAAACATGAATTATCCTTTTCATATCAGTTGTTTTTTATTAGAAATGTCTTTCTGTAATGTTATGACTTCCACTGAAGTACCTACCTTATTAATTAGCAGGCAATCAGGCGTGCACAAGACACAAGTACTACTCTTCTACCATAGTCTCCAGGATCTTGTGAATGAATTGCCTCTCTTGGTTGACAAATTTTTTTTCTGCTGGAACATTTTTACTGGAATTACCATGCTTTGCTTCAAGTTCTTATGAAAAGAATATATTGAATATATGTCTTTAAAGATCATTTGATCATTGAAAAGTCAGTTTACTGTTTATCTCTATGATTATCGACCGTGCAAGCTAGGGTTAGCATCTTAATCTGTAATAAAAAGTAAACAAAGTATTTTTTTGGTGGACCTTAAGTTAAGTTACTAAAGATAGTTTTAGTATTTTTCTTTGGTTTTAACAATATAGCTAATTTTACTTTGAATTTCAACAATAACAATAGCCTATTTTCTACAATATCTTATACAAACAATATGTTATATCTTATTGACAGTTTTTATTTGTCCACAGAATAATGTTCCTAAGGTGTGGGAGTGCATCAGCGTGCATCCTAGTGTTGCTGTCATCATCTTCAATGTAGACCGGAAGAAATTAGTGTTTGTCAAGCAATTCAGACCTGGTGAGTTTTTGCTTCTCTTATGAAAGAAGAGATTTTAATCTTGGAGGTAATACTTATTTTTGATTGTGAATACTATAGGAAATGTCATTATTTTTGAATGCTCACCTTTCTTCTTTACATGCTTGAGATAGTCTTGTTCTAAATGATAAACACAATTTAAAAAAGTTGTATTTATTTAAGGATTAAGGATGAATTCAAAATGAATAATTCATAGACCAATGCAGAGAGAAAGAAACAATTTTTTTATGTATTTGTAAATGTTCAATATATCCCCCCTTGTTCAGCACAACAATATCTATGTTTAGATCTATATTTATGTTTAGATCTATGAACAAGGCACAAAATGGAAAAGAATCGGCGACAGGCCACATCAGGCCTACACTTCAGAGCCAACATCACTATGTTATGTTATGTTATGTTAACAAACATCTAAACTGTAGCCTAACTAGTCCCACACACCAGAAAGCATATTTTCTGTTGCTGAGTGCTCTGTAACAGTGATATGGTTCTTCAGATCAACCAGAGTTGCTGGTAGAGGCGTGATTTAAACAGAGTTGCTGGTAGAGGTGGGACGTAAACATAGTTGCTGGAAGAGGCAGGACGTAAACATCTTTCCTGATGTAACCCCATTAGAAATAGTCACATGTAATGAGATCAGGTGATCTCGGTGTCCCAGCAATGCTTGGAAAGTGACTGATTTAAAAAGTTTTAGACATCAAGATGTCAATGGGACAGATAATTCCACATGGGAAAAAGTTGAAAAATACTTTGAAGAATCTTTCTCTTTCCATTGGTGTATTAATTGCTAATTTTAAACTTATACCTGAATAAATAAAAATTTATTGAAATTTGGTCCATCATTTAGAATACCGGTAACCCTGTATATTAGATCAAAACTTGAAGCTGTGATTTTATTTTTGCTTGTAATTGTTTCCTCCTGTGGCTTGATAAGGCAATAAAATTAGTAAATTATTTACCTTCAGTTCATTTGTTACTACAACATAGATAAATCAATATAAATGTTGCATGGATATAAATAAATGTTGCTATAATAAATGGACCAATGAAAGAGATGAATGATATTTAATTCAGGGTNGCAAGGGAACTGGAGCACGGACTACACAGGAGGCACGCCGCCCTTCAAGTGGACGGCTGTCTCTTATACACATCTAGATGTGTATAAGAGACAGGTACAGAGGCATCAAGTGTGCAATACATTGTACGTAGCTAGCAGCTTAGCTAATTCTTATAAGGCTATAAGTAGTCTAACTATTTGACTATTTGTTACGTATATATTGATTACAATATACAATTTAAATGTGTTAGCTAGCAGTAGCTTATACAGGGTGGGGCAGAACTGATTGAACAGTTTTGAGGCGAAATAAAAGAGTAATGGAGGTACATAAAGAAGAAAGTTCATTTTCCTCATGATTAGCATAACATACCATTTAAAATACTTATGTTTTGAAAACAAATTTTAATTGGTCAATAATGTATGACAGCTTGTCATCAATGACTGCAATATTTTTGTGCTTACTTTTGTAAAGATTTGAAGCCATTGGACATATATAGCAGTGTAGGTAACTTCATATCAGCCCTAGCTTACTATTTCGAAAGATGGGAATGATGACGAGAATAATGATGATTTGAAAGATGGTGGAAATGATGATCGAAATGATCATGGGAATGATGATTTGAATGATGATGGGAATGATGGTGGAAATGATGATCTAAATGATGATAATGATGAAAAGTTCAATGATAATTTTAAATAAGACATGCATGGTTAGGTAAATATATGTTGATGATAATGATAAAAATGATGTAATGAAGTGTGAGAAGATAGATGATTATGAGAGCAAGGATGAGTCGAATGATGAGAACAATGTTTATAATAGCGAGTCTTGTTATCTTGACACAGCATGAAGTGTCTGAAAGGTGCATTTAAATGGGATTTCATTTATCTTATGATATTAGTATTAAGTTTGAAGGATCGCATATGAATTTATACTAGTTTGGTCAACATTGTGTATGTAATTTAAATATTTCCTATTTTACAGCTGTGTATTTCAGTACACATCCTCGGGAAGATCGGGAACTCATTGTCTCAAAAGAAGACCCTAAAATGGCAAGCTCAGCTGGAGAGACTGCCTCGCTCAATAATTGTACTTCTAGTAGCAGTAAATGCACTCAAACTCAACGCAGTCCTGCGTGCAAGAGACTCCCAGACCTGCCTGGAGCATGTGGAATAACTCTTGAGATGTGTGCTGGCATTGCTGATAAAAATGTCGACCTCAGGCAAGTTGCAAAGGAAGAAGTTCTTGAAGAATGTGGATATGAAGTCAAGTTGGAGGACTTGGAAGAAGTTATTTCCTACAGGTAACTGCATGAATATTTGTTACTGGAAAACTTTACTAGTCCTCCATCCAATTGAAACCATTACTACCATTCATGTTGGCTCTACCATTTAAATACTATAAAGAATAAAATTTATTTCTGTTAACCCTATTTTTTAGTACCTATATCAAGTTTATTTATACCACTTGTTAATGATTAACAATATAAATGGCTGACTGCCCCATTTTATTTCTTGATATTTCTCTGTGCCCACTATTCTTGATACTTTATTTTCCTTAGAAGTTAATTTTATTTGTAAATTATCGTTCCGATTTTAATACAAAAATGTTCTTCAGATCATCAGTTGGAGCCGCAGGTGACAGGCAGACAATGTTCTTCACTGAGGTGACGGATGCCAGTAAAGTTGCTGCTGGTGAGTTAAATTTTTTTTGAAGTGCTGTGCTTCTAAGGTTATTTTAATATGCAAGAAAATTGAACGCGTTGGACGCCAAGGAACGTGTGATATCCTCTAATCTTTGTTGTGTAAATAACGGACGGGTCTCTTGCGTTCATCAGTTTATGTTACGTACTATTTCTATTGAAGAGTTAAGTACTTATTTTCAGTCTCTAACACGTACATTCAAGCTTTGTTTCAGCTCAGTGTTAGCAGCGTTATTTGCCATTCACTCAAATAATCTAATTTAGCTTATTTTCATTTGATTTTTTATTCTAGTTTGAGACTTGCAACGCGCTCTCATTTACGCCTCAAGTGCCCTCATTTAGTTGTACTGATTTGCACTACAGGACCTAGTAACTTATTTTTCGATATGGTTCGCATTATGCATGATTTTAATATTTTTTATCAATGCCATGTCATGTGTTGGAAGGTGGGGGACTGGCGGCAGAAGGGGAGCTTATCGAGGTCGTCGAGATGTCCATTGAAGAAGCTCGCCAGCTGCTGAAACAAAAAGCGGTGCAGTCTCCTGGCGAATTTCTCTTTGGTCTCATGTGGTTCCTCGCTAACAAAGCTTCTATTTATGAGGAACATTAACTATAGACAAAGAACTAGGAAATTCATGAAAACAGACTAGACGAAGCTATGCAGGAGCATATGTTCAGTCTTAAAATGCCTAGCAAATTACGGACCAGGCAATAAGTCCAACAGCGATCTCAATCAATCGTCAGCTATGGAAAGATCGGGTTCCAAAGGCCGGATCCCTTGTGAATCAAGTCGCGAAAAAGTCAAGTATCGGCAAAAGGCCATGGGCCTATTTCTTCAACGCCGACACTTCTATTCTATTCTATCATTATATTATTTCATGCTCTGTTAGTCATTGGAACTTCAGTGTTGTTGAAATATTAAATGTACAGTAATTATTGTTGGTTTAATAGTTTTTAAATGGCGAAACCCCCACCTAAACGTGATAAAAATGTTTAATAAACCCTTCTAGTGCCTGTCTTAGCGTTCTTAGATAGAATTACATTATATTCTTCTTTATTATCATATTATTAATTCTAGCGTTCCTATCTAGAATTACACGATAAAGCTGCCGAGAAACTTGGTACGCTGCATACTCGAGAACACATGAGCTAAAAATACTTTAATTTATAACCAGGAACTAACATTCAATTCATTTTATGTTAGAGTCTCCACGTAGAAGTTGCATCTCGTGTACAGGCATTATCAAAAATTTATGTCTTTCCTTGAACATTGCCTGTCATTTTCATGATACGAGATTTTTTTACTGCACCATTGAAACTGAGTTTTTTTTTCTAGGACGCATTGATTGCGGAGTACTTGTTACAGATGTTCAACAAGTAGACGTTCATTTAAAGTTTTTACATAAATATCTAGGTAGATTATTAATTTCTCGTGCAATTAGATTTTCAATAAAATAGTGATGTTCTATTTTACGTTTTCGCACCCTAAATTTATGTCCTCGATAACTTACTCGACATTTTTACTTTAAATTCGCAGGACAGAACTCGTGCTTTATGTTGGAATACGCCATTGAATACCAGACTGACTGAACTTTGCTGCCTATATTTTCTGTCTATCCAGAGAATTACTGGTTTAGATGATTTTGAAATTATAGAAACTAATAGAAAAATAGAGAAATAAAGCGGGAAGCTACAATTGTCAGAAGGCATTTATATTCTAATTTTGTCTACTCATCAATCTTGCTCCGAAGTCCAATAAATAAATGTCTCGTAACCACTCGTCGAACAATGATAAGTTGTGGCCCGTGCGGGTAAGAGGAACAAGGATTTGATTTTTGTTAAAGAGTGCCTAGTCGTGTGCTGAACAATTCAATCGTGACGCTCAAATAAATTCAAGCTCACGTTTTTCCGGGTATGCTGTTTTGCTATTGCAGATTGGAGGACCGGCAGTTGCGTTTGCGGCGCAAAACTTATTGGTGGCCATGGTTTTTGCATAATCATTTAAGAAAGTCAATAAAAGCTATAAATTCCCTACTGAGAAAATTTTTCATTATTTGGGCATTAATTGGGAATTTTTTCGTCGTTCGGAGAATTAATTCTCCGTATTAGTTGTCTTATCGGCACGAAATGAGTAAAGTGAGACAGGCGTTGTCGTTTTATGGAAAAAATATAGTTCTCACTGGCCTGATGGCGCAGGTAACTTCTACGCATTCAATAAATGTATGCTTAGTTTTCTTGCCAGAATTAATTCAGGGCAGAGGTTAAGGTTGAAATTTCTCTAAAATAAATGCAGTTGCTGCGTCTTGTTATGCCTGGCCACGTCTCACTGCAGGTATAAAATGATTCCTCCATGGCGGTAGTTTACCACTTTCTTCTTGCAGTCTCGTCAGCTAGAAAAATCTTCGATCCGTGCTCTTATCATTAGAATTATCAAAAGCTGAGCTACAATATATCAACTCATACTGTCTTGGAAAACAGCGTACTCTTGATTCATTAAAATGAATTTCGTAGGCATATGTCTTCTGACAGTAGTTAGTGTTGCAGTGGCGATTCCGCTTCCTGAATACGACGCTCCGACGCTGTTATGGCCGCCATTCTATGACGAACTCGTCGATCCCGAAAGTAGAGATGTACCTTTACTGTCCTTACATTTCAACCCCAGACTTCTCAGCGCCCCGTCTGCTTTCAGAAATAGGGTTCCCCTAGCTCCCCCATCTTACGAACCTGATTTAGAGGATCAGGACTTGCCAGACGTGGAAGAAGTCAACGCTGTTGATTTGGACCCGAAGGATGAACACGATCAAGGAGAGCTTGACAGCAAGACAGGTAGATAATTGTTGGTATCTTTATTTGTATTTAGAAGTAGTCTATAGTTAGTTCTCAAAAAGGTTAATACTAAAATAGAGTTTATTTGCTAGCTTATTCTCGTGGATATCATTAAATTTTTTGTTAATTAGATTCAAAATTTTATTCGTTTTAGGCACAAAAAAAATAGCTCAATGATCTTTAACTATACCGAATTAGAAAAAACTTGCCATAGTAGCTGTTTTTTTTTCAAGTTATGATCACGCTATGAAAAAGTCAAAACTCGCTTAGAAATCGAACAAATATTTTTTATCAAACAAACAGATATTTATCTTTAGAACGCCGCTCATGAGTGACTAAACTGACTTCTAAATTTTCCCACTCATACATTAATCTAAGCATCCATTACAAAATACTATATTTTTCTTAACTTTCGTTGATTTTCATTTATTCAGAGGCTGCCCCTAAAGCCGAAGAAGTGAAATCTCGGTCTCGTCGTCAACTCAACAATCCCAATTTGAGCTTGGACACACAATCGAAACGTGTGCAATTTTTATATTTTTCACCGAATCTCATATCTTAACCTACAGCCTCGCTTTGACCTGAACGGTGGCGGTTACTTAAACAACAACAAAGACTACGGCTTCGGCTACTCCGGGGGCGTGGGCTCCCTGCTGTGGCGTAGCAACAACGACAGACACTCGCTCGGGGCCTCAGTCTCTGGGTCCGGATACCACGGCAGATTTGGGGACTTCAAGTGAGTGGTCCGCAGTGGGATCTGGTCAAAACCTGGATTACTTTTAGCCCATTTTCTCATTTATGGAAAAAAGGCGCTATTGTGCTCGCCATGTCCGTCCGTCTGTCCGTCCGTCTGTCTGTGATTTCACGTTTTCATCGACGAGAAAATGCGTTCTCTGTCACTCATTGCAGTGAGTACTGAGTTATATTTTTCTAACTTCTTGAACTTGCTGGTGTTGCTTTGAAACTTCTTAATGAGAGCAACCGAGAGTCATTGTACTCTATTCGTACACCAGAGATTGGTTGGATTTGCGACACATTCACATACTTTGATCGTCTATTTCTTTTATTAAGTCTTATTTAAACGATTTTCGTTGCCCCCCCCTAGGTTTGTTACTGAAACTATCAATTTGTGTTTGAAAGTTTGTCAGAAAGTCATTATGTACCCCAACGGAATAATTATAGCAAAATTAATGCTCACTATTTTTCTGTCTCTTTGCAGATTCAATCAGTCTCCGTTCCGGAATCCCACGTACGGAGTTGGTTACACATACCGTTTCTGAGGATAAAAGAAAATCCTACCTTTATACTATTCGAAGAATCCGACCAGCAGATCATGAAAAACGCTGGAAACGCGTACGAAATTGATGATCCAAGTCCAAAGTTTGAAAATTTGGAGTAAAACACAATTCTGCTTAAGTCTTCACGCCCTTAGACGTAGGCTGTCGCCACATTCGTAGTTCTTCTCACGGGCTCAAAATATTGTTAATTTGACGTGCTTTTACAAAAGGGCAACTGACCAAATCCTGTTTGACCATTGATTTGAATACTTTAGTTACTGTTTTGTTGAAGCGATCTTTATTATCTAATGTGATCTTTCTTTATGCATTCGCTTTCAACATAAAACGCTCATATAATGTTGCTGTATTCATGATTACTGAAATTTTATAATTTCTACGTAACTTTTTCTGTAAGCACTTTAAGTATTATTCATACAATTTTCGCTTCGTTCACCTTTTCATTCTGAGTTTAAATTGGAGTTGATCACATGTACTTTGTGCAGAAAATGTGTGAAGTTCTACAAACAGTCTTCTTACAAGTAGTTGTACGGTTTGTTGTACGGTACTTTTTCAAACACTGCTGAAATTTCATGAAAACCTACTTAAAATGCGCTTATTCTACAGCTATATCTGAAAAAGTCATGAATTGAAGAAAATTGCTAATATATTTGTGGCAAGCTGCGATGAGATCGTATTTAAAGGAAAACGTTTTAAAAAATATTAATGGCTGCAGAAATTAAATCGCATAATTAATTTCTTTGTTCTAAATTCGTAATAATTATAAGTGCAACACTTTGTGATGCGTTTTACCTCCTCAATTTTTCATAGAACTCGTATTAAAAAGTGGTACGTGAAATCATTTTTATATATAACTGATGATTCCGAAGTTGAAAGCGAAGTAATTTTTGATTTCGCTGCACCATCGAGAAGCTGTTTTATCTCATGGTTAAGTCGAATTAAACACACATAAGCTATCAATAATGGGTTTATGGATTGTAATGTGTTATAATCCAATTTCATGAAAATATGCCGGGAGAATCTTTACTTATTTACGTTATGGGATTTACCAAAACAAGACGATATCAATCGTCGATTACGTCCAAGAAATGTTAAAGTAGAACATAATAATAATAATAATATAGCGGTTGCAGCGTTTAGTAGGCCGTAGGCCTGTCGCCGATTCTTAACATCGCAGAGCATTCACAGCGTTTTGCGGTCTCGAACACGCAACTCACTGCTACAATTCTGCTGTGCTTAACCGCCCGGCCTTCTTGCCGATTCTGACCAGAAACTGGCGCACAGAGCTGGGATCGAACCCATGCCTCTCTGCTCCAATCTTGGTACTCTGAACTGTAACCACTAGGCCACCCTGCCCTAGAACATAAAAACTTTAAAGGGGAAATTTTTCGATAAATTGAAAATTGTTCAGAGAAAAAGCATGAAGACACAAGTTTAAATAAATTCCATGTAAAAAGCAGACACACAAACACGTGGACAAAGAAATTCAGTAAAAAAGTGGAATGAACTTCATTACGGCTGGAAATGAAAATCTCGTATGCAGCCGAAAATTTCTCAACCAGGTATTGTATTGACCAAAGATGAAATAACTTACCAGTCTTCTGAAAATTCTACGAAAAAACTAATTCGTTTTTTAGAGCTTGTTACATTAATATTGTATCAATGAATAATTAACTTAAGCCCGCCTTGAAATGACATTCAAACCATCCAGTCTCATAAATTTATTTTATCTTGTATGTTTTTTATTAGCCTTACTCACTTTTTATACCTTTTATTTTTCTTCGCGAATTATTGGTTCATTCTTTTTAGCGCATTTCCTCATTTAAGGAAAAAATGCACTATTGTGCTCGCCATGTCCGTCTGTCCGTCCGTCCGTGACTTCACGTTTTCGTCGACGAGAAAATGCGCTCTTTGTCACTCACTGCAGTGAGTACTGAGCTATATTTTTAAAGATTCTAGAGAAATACTCGGTTCCCGTTATTTTGAAAATTTGATTTTCGTGATTGAAGACATTTGAAAAACTTAAATTCTCAATTAAAGTACAAAAAACATTTCAATAAATTTACTGACGCTGAAAATGAAAACGTTTTTATGTGTGCAATTAAACGAAATAGGCCGAATCAGAAAATTACCGCGGCATTCTATTATTCAATTCCTAAACAGAGTCGTCAATTCATCGAACTCTTTCCTTTGAAGCAAAATTCGAAAAATTTAATTCAGTAAATACACGAATAGTCCCTCATGACTCCTGACTTCCAAGCTCTACTGGAAATTGTGAGGCGGTCAAACTTACTGACTTCTTACTAACCAAAGAGCCACGGCAGGGAGTTATAGCTGCTCTGAATACATCTACTGAAACATCAGCAGACATCAGTAGAATCTTCAGCAGAGACATCAGTAGAAACCTCAGTAGACACATCAGCAGAAACATCAGCAGACATCAGCAGAAACATCAGCAGGCATCAGCAGAAACATCAGCAGGCATCAGTAGACATCAGCAAACATCGGCAGAAACGTAATATTGTGGGAGAAGAAACAATTCATTCTGATCGCTGAGATTTTTGTCGATTTGCATTCGGTGGCACAAAGACTGTAATTATATATAAATTACAAAGGAATATTTAACAAATATCAGCACTTATCCCAATATTAATTATTATTATTAACAAATAAGTAAAAAATGTCTTTTGTTTTTATATTTACAGGCCTACCACATTTTATATCCTTTGCGTTATATTGCAATAATAATAATATATATATTATATATAGCATATTATGTGTCGGCAACTCAAAATAATAAACTTAAAAAATTTGTGCATTTAGACGCTCTTACGCGCCTGAAAATAAATTTTCCCGTTGAAGATCAGGTGCAGCTTTAATGCTTAGTAAGAACACATGTGTTATTTACGGTATAAAAAATACACTATTTATTCGAATCAACAAAAAAATGGCGAATTGCTATCAAGAAGAAAAATAAGGGCTTTACAATTTAATACTTAACATAACATAACATAGTGATGTCGGCTCTGAAGTGTAGGCCTGATGTGGCATGTCGCCGATTCTTTTCCATTTCGTGCCTTGTTCATAGATCTAAACATCAATCCCTGACTAATGATTCACTCGATCTAAATCAAAAAATGTTCTCCAGTCAAAATTAATTGCACAAGATTTGTATTGAAAATCTTTTGCTGAATTACATGTACAATATATTTTTCCGAAATTACCTCACTATTTGATATCCTAAATAAATTAAATAGTTCTGAATGACTATTATTATCGCGAAATTTCAGTTTCCGTATGCTAAATAAGAATATTCAAGCAAGAATGTTTTCTGAAAAATTGCAAAATTATTTTCTTCGGCCAGTAGGATTCACATTGTTCCAAATTTATACAAGTTGAAATTAAATTTAAATGATGAAGAATTTACTTTGAAACTTACAGTTCAACCCTATTGAAAACAAACACCAGATTTACTAATTAAAAATTGAATTTTGAAACTAGGAAATTTGAACGTCAACTAGGTTTTCGCAAAGCAACGAATGATCGGATTCAAATAAAAAGCTTTAGTCGTCACTCACGTTTTCGTAAGAACCTCAAATATTGATGTTGAACCTCTTAGAACTGTGCCAAGCTGCAGAGTTTGCTTAAATATTGATTTAGAACCGCTTTTTATATCTACTAAACAACTTGAGTTTGCTGGGGAAACACAGCCCTGTCTTGGAGGCAAACTTCTTATTGACGCTAGTACAATGGAAAAGTTTCGAGGACCAAGAAGCTTATTACATGGCGAGACGGATGGACTCGAAGCTGATTCACGAGTAACTGGTTTATTTGAAATATTTCGTTGAAAAAATATAGGTACATCTCAGTAAAAAGTCTTCGTTGACTTTCTGAATTAAGCGGTATTTGTGTTACAATTTTATGTTAGTAATTTTTCGGCAGAAAACAATAGGTTGAGCTGATTTCATGTACATCGAGCGAAAAATTTAACATTTATTGAACACAGTAATATTTGTTCCTTTGTTATTTCTAAATTGTACTTTTTCTAAAACGCCTTGTTAAAAAATCTCAACAAAATTTGAGCTGGAAAACATTTCGTAAAGCAGCTTTATTGTCAGAAGGAAAGCATAAGAATACAAGAACAATAAATTAATATTATCGAACTACAGTAATTCCTCACATACGGTATCGCAAACATGTTTCAGACCTGTGCAGTGACAGATGAAATACGCGCTGGGAAATTTATCGACTGATAGTACTTATTTAAGCACTAATTTGTAATTCTTTGGTAAGTTTCAATTGTTGTATGTTTTTATAAGTTAATTATATTTTAACTTTTTTAATATATATGTTTTAACCCGATTCAGGTATATTTATTTTTTTAACCTGCTGAAGTACTTCCTCAGAAACCCGCGCTGAAATGATATAGCGAGGGATTACTATAAGATTTCCGAACCAAAGATGGAGCTGCATCCAAAACTTAAATTTTAAGTCATTTGTGTTTCAAACTATCTTATTACCTCTCTGCAAAATAATCTTATTACCTTTTTGCAAAATAAACTGTTGGTTGCAATTTTATGATTGTCACAGAAATAAACATTCTCCAGTGTTGAGATCTTTAACGTATTTTTTCACAAATAAATTTCATCACACGACCCCAAGTATCACACCAAAATCATTTATACAGCATCGAAATTCGCCCTTCAATGAACACTTACGAGTCACGTTTGGTTCAGAGCTTTGCAGACTGACGAAGTCGAAGTTAATTAAGGGTAACTGTGGCAGGAGTTTTTACACAGCAAATATGGTACGAGAAGCTCTACAACATCTACTTAGAAACCATCGTCCTATCTAGGGATGATGAAAAAAGTCTCATGATCAAATAGCGAAAATATTCGAAAAAAACTGATATTGCATATATTTGAAAACTGGTGGTCAGCGGTACATATGTACAATTTGGTTACAATTTCAGTAATCATTATACA